AGACGGCGCTTCCCAAGAGACATGGATAAGTCATCCATATTAAGAAAGAAGTTGCAACATATTGATATGCTTTGTATCTCTTAGAGCTCAAATCCTCTAGTTGGAGCATGTTGGGTAAACAAAAGTCGCGACTGCTGGGCATTCATTCATTGGCTCGGCTTTTGCCGAATAAGTCTTGGCATTATTTACGAATATTCGCGAATAATACGAATAAAACGTCTCGAAATTTAGTCGAATACGAATAATCGTTCCCAGGGAAAAGTCGAATACGAATAGCCAAAATCCTTATTCGTGTCCAGCCCTAGTAGGGAGCCAGAAAAATCTTCGATATTTGTGTTGATGGAATGATCTCAAAGTAAATGTGTTGCAACCCCTTATCATGTGAGTACTGGAGTAGATTGAAATGATGGGGATGCTGTCCAGTGAATCTACTATGCTTAGCGGCTGCCAAAAGCTCTCATGTTGATTGCCATGCTATGGTACTTGATACATCCTTCGTATGGCATAAGAGGCTCCCGCCATCGTCCAAATGGCAAGACATTTGACCTTACATGCTTGTAAATATGCTCTCTGTACACATACACAGTGGGTTTCATCACCACTGACTGTAAGGGTGGTCACACAGTTCATCCGACCGCATCCCAATCGAGAAAATTGCACGAGACGATGGAATGATGTTTGCCAAATAGGGAGAAAGGAAGAAATGACTTAACTCCCCAAAGACCACGCAAAATTCCACACTTTTGGATGGATTTAAGGAGAGCATAGGGGTATGGGACTGGATTGATAGTCCTAACTCCGAACCAACGGTTTGCAACCGAGGGGTCAAGACTCCAGAGGGGTTCTTGAGGGTCTAGAGCCGAATCATTGCTGGCTCTTTTGTGCCACACATCGAAACGGGAGGATTTTATACATTTAATTAGACGACTGAATACTGGTGTGATATTCTCAGGCTCTCAATGCCTAAAGACTACCAGTAATAGATCGAGGTTGGCCAGATGAATGAAGGAACAGTTAAGTAGTTGAGATAAATTCAAACAGAAGCGCGTCACGTGCGTTTATTTAAAGCCAATTTTCTGATGTCATGTGGCCATCCCATGCACGTGAGCCAATCAGAGCCCCGCCAAAAGCATCACAAGTTCCATTCGGGCGAACGGAGTCTGAATCCCATCGACGTAGCGTCCATTTGGCTCGGGGGACTCTTTAAAATGAACTTCCACGCTTCCTCTTTCACTCAGATGTTTGGTCTGATCCCCGAATCCTTTTGCTCCTTCAAGTCCCGCGGAATTACATCGAGCCCCGTACGTGTACCCAGCTAACAGGTGGTGAAACCTCCGTGGACATGCGGAATCCGACCACAAACCTCTCCCTATAACCCGAACTCTCCTGGCCATCGTGATTCTTGAACCCAAGATTAACTGCTAGAAAACCTTCGAGCAAAATGGCCGTGTCGATCACTTCTCCAAATCCTCAAATACTCCTTCAGCCCATTCTCGCATGCCTCCCGACTGCTTTCGCTTCTCCTCGTCCGCCACCTGCTCTTCTGCCTCTTGTGTCACCGATCTTGAGACAAAAACTTCAGTACCTTTCAGACCCATCAGGCTCATGGCTACAGCTTCTCTGCTGGGATAAAGAGCAATCGAGTAGCCTCAAAGGCATCGTCGAGGAACTCGATCTAGAACCGCACCCCACATCCGGCGAGATCGAACTCCCAGATATCCAAGGCCCCGAGTTCCAACGACTGGACAAAGAAACCCTTCATACACGGTTCCAACTTCCCGACCTCCAACTCGCATTTATCTACCTCTGGTGCGACGAAGGCGGCGACAACGGCTCCGGTTGGCGACTAGCAGAACTCCTCCCTATCAGCACATCCTCTTCCTCCCAAAACGACGCTTGGAGTCCAACCATCTCATCCGCCGAAGACCGACACGAAATGGCCGTCAAACAACTCACCACCGCCTCCAACGGTGGCACTCACGGAGAAAGCCATGTCGATGCTCCCTCCCGACCCAGCTCTACCGCTGACGACGATTCATACTGGGCGATGTACGACCAGACACCAGGCAGAACACCCAACCGCACCCCAGCCAAACGGTCACCTGCGCCGTTCAATATGGAGAAAATATACGAGTCCGAGGAGACGAAAAGCACCGCCGTTCAGCCACCCACTGCCGAGGAGCTGGAGTACTTCGCGCGGTACATGTCGGAAGTGCAACCGGCGCTGGATCCCGAGGATCCGGACGAGCAGCAGCTGGGACAACACGAGTCGACGTTGAATGGCGATTCGCTGCCGTGGCACGGCAACGGAGCGGAAGCGGCGTCATCTTCAAAAGACGCAGTTCCGGCTCCGGAGACCGTCGAGGGTGCCAATGGGGACACCGCTTTCCAACCACGCATCGAGTCCCCTCAGCCGCGCTCCTCGCGCTCCAGCTCCTCCGCCCGATCGGTGGAGAAGCTGGAGGAGGAAGCGGCGCGGTCGAACCAGACCGAGGTGGCGGTGAAGCAGCACATCAGCACGGATATCAAGAGCCTGTTTCGGCTCGCGAAGGCGTCGGGGATGGATCGGGCGGAATTCGAGCGGGTGGTGAAGACCGAGTTGGAGATGTTGGTGATGATGGAGAGGGAATGAATGGGGATTTGGGATTTGATGTATTTGTTTGCATGTGATTGGGTTGGGACTGGATCTGTTGGATACTTGCATACCAAACTGGATTGGGAGGACTGGCATCAGCATCGGCGCTGGAGTCGCTTGGTATTTATCATTGGACGGAGTCGTAGCGCTTTGACTAACATGTTGGAAAGAAATATGATCATATCCTGAGGCTGTTCGTGCATCTTGACCGTCCAACTCCATCCAGTGCTCGAAATGCAATACTTAGTCCAGAAACGCCTCATTCAACATCCCCATTTTCCAATCAACCCACAACCCAAGGAGAAAATCCCCATCCGACGCAAATTCAACCCCTCCTTCTCGTCCCCCCCTTCACCCCACCTCCACTCTTCAACGCATTCAACACATCCTTCAGCTCACTCGGCCCAACATTCGCCTCCGTGACGTTCCCCCTGCCAATCTCCTCCGTCACGTTATTCGGGTCCGCCTGACCGACCACTGGGACCGACGACGCGAGCCATTGCTGGAACGGCTGCGCGACGAACTGGCCGTCGCTGGTGTAGAAGCGGGAGAACGGGACGGAGAGGGAGAGGGTCCGGGGAGGGGTGGATGGCGAGGCGGTAGAGGTGATGGTTGCGGTGAGATGGTAGGTTGGGTCGTGTTTTTCGGTGCGGGTGGAGATGGAAAGCTGGGAGACTGGTGAGCATTTGCTTATCCACGAGCTTCAATATGATGCAGCTCGGGGTTGCAGGGCGAGTCTCAAAAGACTGAAGAGGTACATACCTTCGTTCCCTGCTTCTCCCCAACGTATATCACACCCTTCTCCACGAACCACAGCCAGTACGAAAATGCCCCGTTTAACAGGAAGTACGCGATCACCGCTGGCAATGTATATGCCTTGGTCGCGTCCCAGCCCAGGGTCCAGTCGAAGTAGAAGAGCGCTCCGCCGATGATGACGGCAGCGTAGCCCAGCGCGAGTCGTACATCGGTGAGGTAATGTAGTTGACGGAATTTGAGAGAGTTCAGGTAGTTCGGGAGGGCATCGTCGGTGGTGTTCTTGAGGTCTATAAAGTCGCAATGGTTAGCAATCGGTTATATCGACCTGCCAGGTTTCATAATGGATGGTCCTGCAGGAGCAAGCTGTCCTAGAGTGGGATGGCACTGGAGAGTGGGAGGGAGAATTACCGGAAAGGTTATACACCGCAATCTTGCCTGGCGAAGACATTTTCGAGTTGATTTGGTTTATAGAATCCTGTGGAAAGGGATTGTCGTGTGCTGAATTGGAGATCGCCAGTTGAGGCCAGATGCACAGACGATGTCTAAGAGTTGATGATGCCAAGCCGGGGGAGCTTGACGAGGAGTGGAGCGTCCATGTCAACTTCACGAATTTATGTCCGCTTGATTAGACCATCTCCTTTTACCTCACCTTATCGGAGCGAGTATATTCTGTAGCATCAGCGTCAGAGCCACTACAGAATATCAAGATGGCGCAGCCAGTGGTGCAGACAATCCATCGAGATCCGTCTCTCTTGTAAGACGTCGAGTTGCTCCATACCATGAGAGACGACTAACGATGTCCTAGCTACTGGATCCTCGTTCCTATCACCGTAGTCATGGTCCGTCAGTCCGATCACAAGCCCCTCCGATCCCTCCTAACGCTCCGCTAGATCCTCACCGGCATCCTCCGCCACTACGCAATGATCCTCCTCCAATCCGCCCCGAAGAAACAAGGCGTCAAGGACATCCGCCAGACGCGCAGTCTGATGCGCGGCGTGAACCTTCGCAACAACGCATCCGTTCTCACGCGCCCGAGCTTCGAGTCACGGAAGAACTACCTCGTCCCCGCGTATCAGGACGGCACCTTCCTCGCTGAGCCGGAGAAGCGAGGGCAGCCGCGCGCAAATCCGATGAGCGATCCGGCGGCGATGGAAGGGATGATGGGCATGATGAAAAATCAGGTGGTGATGATGGTGCCGCAGACGTTGATCATGGGGTGGATTAATGCGTTCTTCTCTGGATTTGTGATCCGTAAGTGGAGCGATTCACGTTGGGAATAGCAGAGGCTAATATCAGAATAGTGAAGCTTCCTTTCCCGCTCACGCCGCAGTTCAAGTCAATGCTGCAGTCGGGGGTTGGAACGCGTGACTTGGATGTGAGATGGGTATCAAGTTTATCATTCTATTTCCTTTGCTTGTTTGGCTTGCAACCGGTCTACAATTTCATCCTTGGGAGCAACAACTGTAAGTTTTCCCAACTCATGGCCCCGCGAGGACTTGTTCTCCTTTAAATTTTCTCGGATTCCTTACTAAGCTCCGGCTACAGCGGCCAGTCAAGTCAGCCAGCAAATGGCGCAAATGAACCCAGGAGCTGGCATAACAGCCATGGACCCCAATCAAGACCCCGATAAGCTCTTCTTGAGTGAGGCGGAGAACCTCGAGGTTACGGAGCTACGGTCGATTCTCGAGGGGATCGAAGGGCGGATCTTGGAGCAACTAAGGTGAGGCAGTTGGTAGGACATTGTTGTACACTCATGCGCCATTTGAGTGTGAACTTTGTCGTCGATGCGAACTACTTTTAGTTCTCTGATACGAGGGGCTGAAGCGCCGCTACCTTCTGCCAGCGAAGCAGTACAATTCATCAGACGGTGTTATTGCCATACAAGCTTGGCTACAGCATGGCATGATGGAGCGCGGAGTATTAAGGCGTTAAGTCCGTATCTCAAGGCATCCGTGGAAGCCTATGGATTGCTTGAAAGAGGCAGTGCTCATCGTGGGACGACTCACATTTTGTATCATGTATCGCACTTGTCTTAATCCGAACGATGGTACGAAACAAGTATAATAAAGGAAGCCTGCAGTGCTCAGCCTGGTACCGCTTAGTCACAGTGTCTAGTCTGTACTCTCACTCTCGCTCTCACGCGTATAAATCCAATTTCCAATTTCAACGCCGTCAATTGTGTAGTCATATATGTCAAGGATGATTAGCCCTCGACTCCGGGTGGCGGCATGTATGACGGAAAGAGGTTGCTTGACCTGTCTCACAATGGACTTAGTCCCTTCCCTGATTTTTGGCACGTAAATGTGTTCGTTCGAGAGGTCGGAGACCTCGTCGATGCCCAGGTAGTCGACATTCTAGTGGTCATTCAAGGCTCGAATAACTACGTGAGCATTCCAGAGTTTTCGTGAGCATTTCAATCTACATGTGCTAAACTTGAATAGGAGATTCATATCAGTCTGTCTCGTGATGATTTCAACATGCCACACTTCGACGGCTTTCCTTTGGCCGTCCAAGTCCCCGAGGCGGAATTTGAGGTTGCTGTTTATGACCTCTTGGATTCCCGGCCCAATATTCGGGCATCTCGCCTCCTCTAACACTAACTCCCAGTACAGCACACTGGAGCTGGTCGCACTCCGCCCAGAGATATTACTGGGCGTCGGCTATTCATATTCGAAAGGGCGGAAGGAGAGAGTAATATGTGGGAGGACCTGGGCCTCGAAGAAAAGGCACTCTTCGACCCCGCTACTAGTAACACTTGCTTGTCGCTAATTTCCCCTACCTAGGCCCGTCTTCTCTCTCAAGGGGCACAAATCCGTGCAGCGCTATTCATGTTTGATCCTCCATCTGGTTTCACTACCCAATGGCTCCCTGAGCCTCTTTTGTGCAGAAGCCAAAGTATTTTTCTGTTCCCGTTTCTCCCACGCCCGAATTCTGCGTTGCTCTCTTTACGTTCAATATCGAAGCCACTATTGGTGACTTAGGCCCCATGATTGGAAGGGAGGACGACAACACTGTCGTCGGCCCCATTGCCTCAGCGGCGAAGCAGTCTCTCGTACGACTTGTTCCGCTTATCCTCCCTTTAGCAGGCAAACAATCGGCGTTATATCACTTCGTTGTATGACTGGGTGGCTGGGTGCATAATTCCAGCAATCTTGTTGAATCCAGAAATGGCCGTTGCCGTTGGCTTTTCGACGGACTTTGGCTTGGTGGACGAAAACGGTACCACTTCTATCACGCGAGTACCCAAGGTCATAAACCCGGAAATGCATTCAGAGTTCATGACGTGGAATAGGGGATATTTCAAGATGTGGATATAAACCTTGAGTATTATTCGTGGATGGAACAGACAAATAACCCCTTTCACCAGTGCAGATTCTCTTTGACGAAGTCCCTGATTACGAATATGTCATCAACGCTGGAAAAGACGCATGTCATTTGTGGTTTGCTTTGAGAGACTGGCGAGGTAGGGATCTAGAGGGATATTTTGGAAACATTGGGCCCTGGGCCGAAAGAAGGGTCAATGAAATTACCGGATAATCTCATGTCATTCACACAATCGAAGTGTAGCTGGAATGGATCTGAAAATATCCAGTACAGAGAGCCCTATTCGGGTACCGTATGAAGAAACATGAAGCTTAACAAATCAGTTGGAGCCCAACCATGGGCAATCGTGTTCATAAATCAAAAAGATCCTCTAGTATGCTCTGAACATGGCTCTCTCCATAGTACCAACGCTAGCATCTCCCTTCGCATCTGGCATCCATGGCGAAAAGGTCCTCAAAACGCGGCACTTTGGGCATTCGAGCTAGGACAGCGGAAATGGTATCAAGGAAAGCCTTCGCAGCATGCGTACATATCAGGGTTCCAGAAAATCCCGACGTTGGAACGGGTAAGAATGGTCTGACGGTTATTCTAACGGGATTTCAGTTGGTACCGTACCTTACTATTGATCACTGGGCGGTTCGAGATTTAATGAAACTGGCTTACCTGCCTGCCTTCTATACTGATATAACTGATTGTACTGCAGAGATGAACGTGAGTCGGAATAATTACTGATAACTTCCAGAGAAATATGGGGCTAAGGCTTCCATTTATAATGGTGGTTGGCTGCCTTCTTGCATCTTGGTCTCATCAGCAAGGCATCAGTGTTGCAGACGTCCAGAAAGGGTTACTTCAGTTAGTTAGCTTCTCCTCCAACTAACCACCTTATCGTACCCATCAGCCTATCCGACAAAGCACCTACCTACCGTACAGCAGCCTATCTTAGATGAGAACCAGTTCCACACCACTTTGCGTGGCGAGAATGATAGGTAATTCTCTTCCTACACTGCCGCAGCCTATTGTACATGGGATCCCTCGCGGCGGCGCACGGAGGAATTGATGAACACTCCAGGACTCCAGACGTATCAAGTGTTCTCGGAGGCCTCTCACTATGCAAGATGAACTCCTATTACCCCACGCCATTTAACAATGACTGCTCAGACTGAAACATCAGGCAGTTGGTCTATCCTCTGGTGCATGCTAACGGGAGCACCGGAGCACAGAAATCAGGCGTCAATACCAACGGTCAAGGTGCTTCCAAAGTGCGAACTGCGAAGGATAAAGTTTGTATCACCGAGTTCATGGTTTGGTTGGTTGTTCGCCGCAACTCCAGTTCGGGCTCACTCTGAAGATCTCCCGGGATTCGTTGCCTGGCCGTCGACCAATTCTTAGCGCCCGTCCTCCTGCATGGGTTTTGCCCCAGTATTAATCCCGCTCCCCGCCTCCTGGCCACCAGCCAGTAATCAACAAGCTGTCCCGTTGTCATTATTCATCTCTGAAGTCGAAACTGCATACAGGTCCTTGGCTGCGCTATTGTTCCTCCGGTATCCTGTTCCTCAGCCACCACTAAAGTCATGCTATGTGATCTATCTTTACCAGAGGACATATCCAATGAACCATGCGCCTCCCCCCCCATAACAATTCCCTCTGGCGTTCTCTGAGGCGGGAATATGGGGGCCCATGATCTGTCTATTTTATTCGACCGCTTGGGTAAAAAGGGTCGAGCGTTGCAGCATGAGCGTTCAATTTCATCTTTTCAGCTCATCGACCAGGGAGGAAAAGGATGAATCACGTTCGGCGACGTGGGAATGATGTTGGTTCCCAATCCAGCGAATGATCTTCGCGGCGCGGTTCTCAGTGGTCAGTCCTGCTATAACCGGCCTCAAAACGCAGGATGGCGACCAGGGACTTCGAATTCCTCAGTGCATCCGACCTACCGACCCGATGCGCTGGGCTCGTTTGTAGAGGCAAGCATCCCAGTGATCCCTTTTCCCGAACATGGGGCTAGGCGGATGAGGCGACTTTCGTCGCCTCATTCACTCATTGATCATGCTCGAGGTTTCTCCCGATGTCACGCATTGACCCCGCTGGACACTTGAACGGATCCTGGAGGCTGGAATCGTCCCCATGCGGTCTCTCATGATCGAGTACGTATACAGCAATTTCCATGGCTTCGCTTGGATTGTCTTGATTAGTCGGCCCCTCCCGCAGATCGCCCGGGGTTGGAGAATCCATTTCATGGAACGTGCGCCATAGGGTTTATGCCTCATGGCTGAAAGATTGTCAATTGTATTGCAAGCCCGGGCCTCAAAGCGCGACAAATCGTGGTGGGCGACTGGCTAGATGCCGCCAAAACTGGGGGAGGGGTCAAGTCCCTCGAAAGCAAGCAAAAGGGCGCGGGCACGCGGCCCACGTATCCTCCGACCTGGGAGTTTAGGGTGTTAAACCTGTCCAACAATACATTAAAATTGCCATTTCTTTTTCTCATCTCCGCCTCCTTCCCGCACTCCCTCATGGTGAGCGTCCTGACGGCACAAGTGGTAGCTCGAAGCCAACGATGATTTGTTCTTCCACCGGGATTGATTGGGTAGCTGGGCATGTTGGATGCATCCGACACCCCTCCCTCATTGATGCGTTTCGCCCTCCCTGGCCGTGCTAAGCCCACTGCCCACAACAGACCGGTGAAGTCTGCAGGGGCTGGATAATATGACAGGGAAACAGCGACGCCATGCTTCAGCGCACTCCTCTTTGGGGGGGGGGAGAGTTTGGCTGTGTCGCTGGAAGTCTCCGCAGAGCCGCATCCTCGAGTCCTCCACGAGCCAAGTCCATAAAGCGAGCATATCAGTTGCGACGGAGCAAGTTGGAATAATGTGTTGTTCATACGATCAAACAGGAACACTGCGGTCAGAGTCCTCGGGCAGTGCTGCTATTTCGCTAAGCTACTCTTAATTGATTTGTTCATTGGTCGTACCATCCTGTCAATTTTCTATCCGTTGAATCGTCGAGAATCCTCCAGTCTGCCCTACACTAGCATTATATCTCCTCCGAAGCATTGCCACTCCGTTGCGTCACTGTTTGTTCCTCAAAACAGTCTCACGCTTCGTTTGGTATTAGTGTCTAACTTATACTTAAGCTTGGCCGGCCATCTATTCGGCCAACGAGTCTTCCCGGTTCCTGGTGTTTCATATGCTGAAGAACAGTGTTCCTATTGCCACTGTCGATTCGTATATCTGGGATTACTCGTGCTCTGACTCCACTGTCTTGACTACTCGGAATCCCGCATCCTGTGGTCTGCATTTGCAACCAGTGCTCAGAAAATAGTTGGATGATTCCTTAGTCAGGCCGCTGTTTCTCTCCACGAGATGTATCCCGATATACCCCAATTCCACTTCGAGGGCGGAAATATCCCTTATCACTCGTACAGCTGGCCTGAGAACGTGGATGCAACCACTGGCGGTTATATGAGTGCCAAGAGGCCCTACCTACCTGACACTTCTTACGAATACGGTATTATGACGCCCCGGTCGTCGTCAAACATGGACCGGTTCATGGATGACCGTGTGACATACGTTCCCCAGTTCCAACTATACGAACCGCGGAATCAGGGACTGAAACCGAATGGAGCAAAGGTGTTCCCTCGTGCCTGCGATGAGCACTTGCCAGATATGTATCCACGACACCCTTCTCCAGGAGGATCACATTCATCTCGATCAAGCGGATACCACAGCGACGAAATATATGGCCCACAGAGTGGATACGGACCCACACCACCTTACTCCATGGGTTCCCCAAACGACTTCAGTCAACAAAGTCTCCCCTACCCGGAGCTTGGTGGCGGCTCATCGGTTGCTCTCCGTGATGTCCAGCAGTTCCAGGACGAGCAACCGGAGCAAATCGTTCCAACAATGGAGCGAGATGACCTCCGCATTGTGTATGAGAATCACTCATACGAGGCCGATGAGGAGTTCGCACGTACCCAATACGAACAACAATGGGTCACTCCCGACGACGACAGCTGCCGCGACGCTGATGGCGAGTCAGTTCACCCGTGCTCCACAGACGACGCCTCCGACTCGGAGTACTCTCCGCAAGTTACCACCAGCCCTAAAGTGCGCCGCCATATCCCTCGGCGCATTTCTCACCCGAACGCCACATCCCCTAACCGCACCACACCCCGCCGTACCTCCGGCTCTGGCACCCGCAGCCACGGACGGAACTCATCCACCAGCTCCTCCGGCGGAGTTGTGAACGGAAAGATCAAGAAACGGGCTCACACCCGTTCGAGCTCCAATGCAGGACACCAACGTTCCTTTCCATGCCTCCTACACAGCTACAAGTGCGACTCCACATTCGCTACAAAGAACGAGTGGAAACGGCATATCAACACCCAGCACCTACGCCTCGGTTTCTGGCGCTGTGACCACTGTTCAACATCTCCCAATGAAGATGGCTCCATGATATCTTACAATGACTTCAACCGGAAAGACCTCTTTACACAGCACTTACGGAGGATGCACTTCCCCGAGGCCCAACAAAGCCCGAACAAGAAAGGTAGCACACCAAAGTCTGAAAATTCCGAAAATGGCGTGGCCGTCGCAGACGAAGCCGAAGCACAAATCGCGAAGTCCCAAGTCAGATGCTACATCGAGCAGCGCTTGCCCCCTTCGCAGTCACGATGTGTGTTCTCGTTCTGCAAGAAGACGTTTGAGGGCGCGAAGAACTGGGACGAGAGGCTTGAACACGTAGGGAGACATTTGGAGGGGATGTCGAAGGGAAAGGAGGGGAATGAGAAAGATGGAATGCGGCCGGAGGAGATGTGGGTTGAGGATCAGGAGTTGAGGAGGTGGCTAGAAGACGAGGGGTTGATTGAGGGGGATGGTAAGGGGGGGTGGAGGGTTGGTGATGGGGTACCAGTCAGGGATCAGGATGGAAATTGAAGAGCTGGTTGTTACAAAATAGGTTGACAACTGGTCATCCCGGTTCTCCATGTATGGCGCAATGGTCCTTCTGTGGCTAACTTGGATCAATGTTGCTTATTATGACTGTTATGACTGATACCACATAGTACTTGTAATTTTGACTTGCGAAATCATAGTTAATCTGTTTTTAATTTCCGCATAAGACACTATCACTACCGAGCGAAATTGACCTAGTTCATTCAATGTCAGGATTTAATTCTGCTCACCAGCAGTTAGTGCTGCTCAATCTTCTTGATCAGATTCACTTCATCTGATGTTTTATGATTTTCGGTTTGGGGTGCCTCAGGCAAGAATCCCAAAATGCTAAATGTACTCATAGCTTCGGCACAGCTGTCTCAACTTTTTCACCGCAAATCTTTGTTTCCCCAAAGAGATGTCATCATCGCCATCTTGTCGACCATCGATGTCTTTATGTTCGCCAGAGACATTCAACAAATGTCTAATTATCTCTAGGAATGACGAGCCTGCGGCATGTCTCACTCTTGGCAGATTTCCAGACCTGTCAAACGCGTCGACAAGAGATGGGACGTCCACATATTGGCCTGCCGATTCTACGATCTTTACCGAAGCCGTCCATGAAGTCAAGTCATCGAAAAGAGCATTCTCAAGCGTTTCCCAAGTTGCGAGTTCCCACAGCACGCATGCCAAGCCGTACAAGTCAAAAGTCTTCCGAAATGTTATGCGTGCCGCTCTCTTGCCTGCGGATGCCGGTAGATGTCATGGCTGAGGTCTGAACTTGGTAACTCTGTCATCTTTACCCCGTCGGGGCCATCTGGTCTTGCATATCCGTATCCCACAAGATAAGATGCAGCATCGAAGACCTCGGAGGTTGAGCCATTGGTTGTCATAAAGACGACGTTTTCAGATCGGATGGCCTTGTGCAACCAGCCAGCAGTGTGGAGCTGGAGCACTGCCTCCGCAAGTTCGAAGGCAACTCTATATCTGAATTCCAGCGGAACGTCGCCAAATTCGACCATCAGCTCTCGAAGAGTGAGCAGCTTCCAGGAAGTTGACGGCAGCGATCTCAGCGAGATCGGTGGTTCATAAACCAAGCCGAAGCACCCGAATTCTTTCCATAGCATGTATCCACAGCAACGGAAACCATGAAATGAGTGATCATCCATCCCTTCTAGAAGCAAAGCCAAGCACTGGATTTGCCCCTCAAGGACCTCAAATTGCATTGAATCCGCAGTTCTCCATCCGATCAAGGAGACATTCTTCATGTACGCAGCGATCTCTATTCCTGCCTTTGGCAGTACTTCTGCCCGAAACCCCGAATACAGCTCAGGCTTCAGCCTGTGCACGAAAGTTGTGCCTGACTTCAACATCGAAGGGGTCTTGTCCGCAATTTCATCTGGGCGTTTATCGCATCCAGCTATAAGTCGAATGTGTTTGAGCGTCGCTGCTGCTGTCATGACAGTATTGCTGGCCCCTCCTTCGTTAGTTAGAATCCGCTGAAGCATCTCGACTTCAGAGGGTTCGTGGACCGAGAGATTAGATCTCGCAATAGTGCCTCTCGTGTTTCCTAGATGAGCTCCCGATCGGCCGAGTCGAGAAGCGCCTCCAGTCTCGAGTTGAGGTCTCTGATTGCTTCGATGACAGCCTTCACGCGATATTTCCCTATAGCTGCCCATTTCAAACGTGTAACAACTCCTCGCTGGCCGCTCTGACGACTGGATGTTGTATACTCGGGCTTTAGCTTCATCATAAGAGTGCTAAATTTCGATTCTGGCTTCGACATTCCATTATCATCCATACGGACCTCCTCTTCCGGAATGTCCAGATTGTATTCCCGTTTCAACTTTTGTGCGGACGTCAAAAGCGCTTTTTGTTCCGTGAGTATTGACGAAGTGATTTCCCAGTTAAGTCTATCATTTGGAGCCGCGGAGTTGGCCAAGCCTGTCCTTTTCTCCCATTCCTCAAGGCGAAATTGCTCCCACTGCAGCTTCGAAATGATGTGCTCGCTGTCTTTTGCCATTGTTCTTGCGGTGTAGAAGAGTTGGTATGCTTCGATGCATCCGTTGAATGTGTGCATTGCAAGACCAACTGCCGAAAGGGCCATTTCAACGCCTGCCATTTTGGACGCGGTTGCGGGTTGGCGTGGAAAAATTGAAAAATGTCTTATGGGACAAAGATGATTGAGATAATGGTGATATGAGATTTGGGTACGGGATATCGAGTATCAGAAGACTCGTTTACAAAGCGTAGAGGGCAAGTCTATACTCTCTATTACGCAAGGCTCCGGGGCTGTATATGCAATCATTGTCTCCGAGCGCTCCCATGGGCCTCTGCCATTCTGTTGGTGTCATGGAATTGATACCGGAAGTTCAGCCTTGCATCCCAACTCTAGTCTCTGCCCATTTCATGCACCCCATCTTTGCCAATCTTTCCATTTGTTATATCTACTGCAGCATGCATGCGTCTATTTGCGCAGAGGTGCTTTGTGCCGCGACCCAAGATGGCATTTTGAGTGCCGACGCAAGGCTCGAATTCTCATCACGTGGTCGAGCCTTCCGGTATACTTACTCCATCCTGCGCCACCTCGGAGTTTTGCATTTGATGGAGCGCTTCATTGCTCTAGAATTGACAGATTTCCATATCCCGTTCGACGAGAATACTCTTCCTGACTTGATTCCGGGACCCCTCCGAGCCCCGTTTCTTCACTGTCAAGGGTATGTTTACTCCGAAAAGCATGATGAGACACATCAACTTGAAGACGGCGGCGAACACACCAATCTAGATGACGGAGACGGGTATTTCCATTCTGTTGGCATTTTTGGAAGTGGTGGCTTTGGGTGAGTGTAACAAGGCACTACTACACTGTACACTTCAGCTAATCCTTTAGGTCTGTCGACCGAGTGTGGAGCAAATCGAGCTTGAAAGAGTTTGCTCGAAAGCGGACTCGACGAGGTCGGGACAAGAACTCAGTCCTCAGAGAGAAGGCAATATGTCAGGAGATTCGAGAGCTCAAGAAACTTTCCCATGAGCACCTGGTGAAGATTTGCGGGTCCTATTCAGACAGGCGCTACATTGCTTTCATTATGCAACCGGCCGCGGATACTAATTTGGTCGATTTTCTTCAGCAATGTACTCCAGCGGAATATCCTACACTATCTCGATTATTCGGGTGCCTCACAAGTGCCATCCATTACCTGCATGGGAAGTATGTCCGGCATCGCGATATATTCTCCCAGAACGTACTCGTTCATAATGGAGAGGTGAAGTTAACCGACTTTGGCAACTCCTACAACTGGTCGACGAGCAACAAGAGGACAACCCGCGACAGGATCCCCATAAATGAGGAATATGCAGCCCCTGAGGTTGCGCGGGGAATTCTAAAGAACGAATACTCAGATCTTTGGTCCTTGGGGGTGGTGTTCCTTGAAATGGCAACAACGCTACTTGGAAAAACGAAGGCGGAATTTGACGAGTTTCTACGAGATTACGCCATTAACAAGCGCTCCGATGGTCAATATCTCTGGGCCAATATAGGAGCAGTCCCAATTTGGTCGGAGAACATTCGAAGTACGAAGAACGACTCATACAATGCACCTCTTCAATGGATTGAGAAGCTGCTGAAAGAAAGCCCACGGAAAAGATTGGATTCAAAGGCTCTCATGATGGACATCCGACATTCTGGATATATTTGTGACTTTTGTTGTTTGGATTGTAAAGAAACATACGAAGGTGGAGCGTTTGACTACGCAGTTCCCGGACAGTTTGTGGATGTGGACGTGGGCGAAATTCTTTACCGAACTGAAGCAGTTCAGTACACAACAGCTAGCTACTTCGACGATTTCGATGAGGTCGATGTATTTCGGGATCCAAGAGATGTCGCCTCTACCGGAAGTGTTGAAGAGTGGCTCACCCAGTTGAGGATTGCGCAGCACCCGAGTAACGATGCACTGCCAATGCTAGCTATCCCAGAGGACGCCGTGCTTCACGGCTGGGCTCAACATACTCCAGTGGTGAGTCGAATTGAAGAACCAACCTATACTACTGAACGTGTACACCGAACTACGATCAAAGACACAGGACGTGGTTTTCTCATCGCCAGCGAAACCGACTCATCTGATGAAAAGGATAGTCTCTGTGACATCACTGAAGCAGCAGAGGATGAGTGGCCACAGACAAACGGAATTTACAATATACGAGCAGTCTCTAACAATTCTGACACAGAGAGTGCATTGGACAGCGATTCGTGTGTTGAAGTTCGGACTGATGGGAATGAGCTGACGGCGCCTGCAATAAGTCCAGCCAAGGACACCATTACAGATCTAATCGGAGGACACATCGAGGAGCACTCCCACGATACATCGGCAAATACTGAAAAACATCCGGATTCGGGGGCTGCGGCACTAGAAGCTAACAGCCGCACCAAGACCTCTTGTTGTGGAGCAGTGATAGAGGCAGGGGAAGCCAGTTCGTTGGAAGCGGGAGATCAATCACGCCATACTGCTGAGAGGTCTCATCAACAGCTACGTCGCCAGATTCAAGAGCTCAACCAGAGACTTCGTGATAACCGAAATCTTGCATCTGCAGATAGGCCAGCCAACGACCAGAGTCTTCCAAGGAAGGCTGACGAGCCCGAACTTGCAGAGCCGCGGGATGAGGTTAGACAGGGGGAGAGCACAAATCAAGGAGCAGAAGAATCCTGTATCAAGGAAAAAGTAAATCAGTGTCGGGAAGATGACACAGCGACAAGTTTCTCAGTCCCAGGACCACGGCATTCAGGCAGGACGTACAAGACTCTGTCAGAGAGGCCACGTCGAAAACTTCCCCCAAAGTTTGATGCCAGCAAGTACATCGAAGCTGCCACCGTATCCAATTTAACGGTCGCTACCTCTGCGTTAGGCCAAACTGCACGAGTCAAAAGGAATTTCACCTCCTATATGTTGAGAAACCACGAACTCTTGGAAGAATTTTGCAGAAAGAGCCAACCTGGATCCGTCAAAGCCCTCATGAAGAGCGGGATCAGACCAGCTAATAGACCCCGGGCTCTCCATTTCGCCGTGGCTGGTAAAACCAAAGCACATTCTGCCTGTGTCAAGTACATGTTGGAGTACGGCGCCAATGCAAATTACATAGATCGACACGGACTCACTCCCCTACACTGGGCAATCGACCGAGACCCCTGTGAAGGATATGCTGAAACGATCCATAAGTTGCTCGATGCTAATGCAAATCCCAGCACCAAGGACGGCAATGGAGCGACTCCACTGCAAAAGGTGTTTCAAAATGGAGCAAGCGCTCTTTCGAACGCGGAAAAACGGGCTCTAGCCTTCCTCCTCAAGTCAGCAGTAGGAGATGGGGTCAATGTTGATCTTCCAATTCCTGGAACCCTTGATACGCCGCTGCACTTGGCTATCCGGCGGAAAGACTACCACGCCACTTCGATGCTCTTGTACACAGGTGCCAATGTGAATGCGATCAATTCCTCCGGCATGACACCACTGCTCATTGCTGCCAATCAATGGGGGGGACAACTCACTGCGGAGCAGGAGCTAATGCTCACAACGCTGTTAAGCGCAGAGGATATCTCTCTCGATAATAGTGGCGGCGCAAAGGGCCGCACCGCCCTGCTGCAAGCGGTTGCAGTTGGCGCATCTGCAGCCGTTGAATGGCTCATAAGCGAGAATGCGGATCTCCAACGGAAGGATAAGGATGGCAGTGACGCATTAGCTATTGCTAGAGATTGTTATCCGCGGTATTCGGAGGAACAGAAGGCGATACTCAGCCTGCTAGTAGATACACTTCAGGATCGATTATGGTCCTGCCGTCACTATTCCTGATGGCTGAAATGTACTGTTCGCATTGAAAGGGAGTCCGGATAGAGTGCGCAGGACATGGTTTGATTGACTTCATCCTTACGGTAGTTATTAACACAACAACAAAGACCCAAAAAGGACGGTGGTTTGGACATTATTCTAATACGCTATCCATTGAAAGTACTTATAACAGTCGTACTCCGTAAAACGGGACCGGTCATCTCAGTCGGTTATTAGCACTTCTCGTGACTGGGGGGAACGGCGCACTTTTGCGTCTATTGGACAGGTATAACTATTGAGTTAATAATATTGTACCTAACTTGTACGGTCTTGGTCTTGTTGAGCACTTCAGAGCAGAAGCGGGCTCTGGGTCATGACATCAATACACCCTATCCAAAAGAATCCTTTATTACAAGCAGCAGGAATCAGGCTTAAACTCGTATCCGCTGGCGATAGTAAGGATTACCTAACCTAAGAAGGCAAGCCTGAAAGATCATCCAGTCACACTTGAATTAGCTTGGTCATCAACGTCGTATAGGCGATCTATATAAATAAAGTCCACCAGTGGTCGAGGAAGAAATATTTTAGCATACTAGAGCATCCAGGTTTAAAGATCTACAGCATAGTTGGCGACTATTAGAGCATTGTTTGATTTAAGACTTATCACCATGTCCCACCATCACTACACAGACACACGGCGCTCGTCGTCCAAACCCACTTCCGTACCCCTCGACGCTACCTATAGCACCCGCCTACAATCCCTTCACCAGCCCGGAAACCCTTTAATCCTCACCAACATCTACGACCTCTCCTCCCTTAACGCGGTTTTGTCACTCAACACTCCCTCCACCACCCCAGTTCAAGCCATCGCAACCGCCAGCTTCGCATTTGCCGCCCAACTAGGCATCCCCGACGAAGCCCTCACCCTCGACCAGAACCTCGCCGCCACCGCCGCCATCTCCGCCCGCGTTCGCGAAGCCAACCTCCCGCTGACTGTCGACCTCCAAGACGGCTATGGTGAGCGCATCACGGAAGCCGTCCGACGCGCTGTGGAGCTCGGTGCCGCGGGCGCGAACATCGAGGATAGCATTCCAAGCGCCGGGTTCGGTCGTGGCGTGGAGGGCAGCTTGTATCCGGTGGAATTGCAAGTGCAGCGGCTGCGCGGGGCGCGGGAGGCGGCGCGACGGGCGGGGAGTCCGGATTTCGTGATCAATGCGCGGACGGATGTGTTTCGACTGGACGAGCCGCCGGAGGAGGCGTTGGAGGAGGCGGTTAGGAGGGGGAAAGCGTATTTGGCAGCGGGGGCGACGACGGTGTTTGTGTGGGGTGGGAGGCGCGGGGTTCGGACAGACGAGGTGATGACCCTTGTGGATGCGCTGAAGGGGAGGGTGGCTGTGAAGTTGGGGGACGGGCCGAATTCTTTGACGACAAAAGAGTTGGCGCATATTGGTGTCGCGAGGGTTAGTGTGGGGCCGAGTTTGTGGTTGATGGCGATGAAGGCTGTAACGGAGGGCGCGAGAAGGATCCTGGAGGGGGGGAGATTAAGCGGTTGATGGGAGCAGGGACTCGGAATATCGCGATGGTTATTGCACAGGTGCTCTTGCTTTTTGAGGTGCATTGGAGCTCACCGGGGATGGCCGGGAGGGTTTGTCGATAGATCATGTCGGTGGACAAGATGCCAATTGCATGTAATGGATCAAAGTGCTGCGTCCGTGGATTTCGACCGTGTTGCTGCCCTCGCGCCAAATATTCGCAGATAATTGCCATTCGACAATACGATCATTTACTAGCAGATGGCTTTTCGCCGTCACCTGCGTTCTCTTTCCTTCTCTGGACTACATCCCAGTTATACACTCGAGCGGTAGCGACCTCCATCGTCTAGATGCGATAAGTCAGCTTGCCTGTTCGGTATATTCAATTGCGGGTTTGGGACAAACCGTTATCTGCTCTCGTAAGAAGTCCAAATCCTCCTCGCAGTTCGCCACGGATTGTTTCGCGGTTGCTAGCTTGCTCTCGAGAAGAGAAATTGCCTCGGAAACAGGGTAGGCAAGCATGACATTGGCCTAACAGTAGTCAGCCAACTATACCGACGCCTATATTTGAAAAGGCATACCCCTAGCCAGATGTATACTTCGTCGGTTGGCGGAATGTTGGCCTTCGCGAACAAGGTGTCGTTAAGCTCGAATGTCGTCTCTATCGGCTCCGAGTCGGCCTACATTTGCAACTCTTGATCAGCTTGATGCTCCCATGAGATGCACCTTTTAACACTTACCCCTCGAGAGCCCAAAAATTGCGCAGCATCCAGAGACTTTTGTATCTCCGGTACCTTGACCTGCAATCCTGCCAGCCGCCGCTGTGTACTGGATTGCATGAACTGGTACTTCCTGTATCAAACCGAATAAGCTGGCGTAAAGAGTAAATTTCCTGCTCGTCCACGTACGAGATCATCTCCTGGAAATTCCGGAGCGTCTGCTCCACTTCTGCTCGAGATCGAACATATTCCTCAACATTGTCGACGAACGGTGCGTAAGGGATCCCTCGAGGGTTGGTGGAGGCATCGCTGGTGCTATAGGAAAGACATGTTTAGTTCAATACGGTTCAAGTATGGGAGTTTTCAAGAAGAGTGAGTGCGTACCTGGATCCTTTTGCGACGGTGGCCATATTGGATGCTTGAGGTTGAAGTAATGAAAAAATGCAGCGATGGGATCGGGAATTTCTGATTAGGATGAGAGGTGAAATGTCAAGTTCGAACCTGGGATGTTGATGTGGTGATAGAATCTGGTAGCTTCCGACCCGCAGTCCCGCACTGATTTGGTATCCACAGCGTTTCCACTTTCGATCGAGTCTGAATAATTACTCCATATAATTAGATTTAGGGATCTTGACCTTCAAAAGTGCAGGGAAATACCGGGAGTTCTCAAGGTCATTTATTTTCCTTCGAGGCTTCGCTGTACAGTCGCTATTGTTGTTGTTGTTGTTGTTGTTGTTGTTGTTGTTGATTCATTTGCCTTGACCTCTCCGTGGGATATGCAGGCTACCACTACCATATGGTACTCAGGCCTATCCTTCTTAAGATAATTTACACTGTACTGCTTCTTGCACGAAGTGGTAATCACTATGTCCACGACCCCTCATTTGAGGCCGCCTTAGAGCCCTCGATGTGAACTTCTTAGATGCTTCCGCAAAAAGTCAAGCACTGCGTCTAAGACATCGCTGTCAACTGCCCATCCCTTGGTTCTTCCTTAGTCCTAAGGTCTCCCTCCAAGCACTCCGGTGATACTGTTGAAATCGTCTCCTATCTTCTTCCGAAGCTGCTGTGGTAGCTCTCTGAGATTCGGACGGTCCACTAGGACGTGTACCATTGTCTCTCTTGCCCCGCTTTCAGATTGGTCATCATCTCGAAAGCCGTGGATTTTGGCATGAGATGCAAGCCACGAGTGCCCTGTTCTGAGCGGAGGGTTGGGAAAGGCACTATTTTTTAAACACTCTCAATAATAGCACCAATCAGGTTTTAAAGCTTTTAGATTTCTAATCAAACATTACTCATCGGTTGTCGCCACTCGTGCTATTCATGTAGTATATAAAAGACACGATCTGTACGGTAGGTGGGCGGGGAGGAGGTTAAAGAAAGCTTAAGGAAATATCACAAAGTAAGTTCCATGGTCATAACTCTTCCAGATGCATATCCGAAAGCAACAATGCCCCCATAAACAGCACTACGGCTTGGCCGATACTCGGGAGGAAGCCAAAGGATCCTCTCTGTATGGCTACTTACCCAGTGGTCGTTGACAAAGATAGAAGATGGATGTCGTAGACGGGTCACACCTATACCATCAGAGAGAGGTGATAAAATAGGCAAGAATCCACGGTCCGTCTGGAGAGAGGTACCGTCGTCGGAGAAAGAGAGAGCGTAGACGATGTTTCCAATGTCGAGCGTCTGCTGCAGCGCGCCCGACCCGGCGTCCCACAGCTTGACCGTC